CACAGAAAAAAAAGGTGGAAGAAAAAGAGATCTTTTTTCCCCTTTTCTTTTTTTCGAGGTGTACACCACGGCGTGATGCAGGCCCCTCAGGCGCCGACAGGGGGGCCCAGGCAGAAGTACGCAATGGAAGGCGGAGAGGGGTAAAAAAGACGCGAGTGCGTGGGTGGGTGGGTGGGTGGGTGGGGGAATACACACAGAACAGCCACAGCGAAAAACATCAGCCAACTCCCACCGCCGCAAACACTGCCACACACACACACACACGCCACTCGCTGGCAACTCCCGCATACCACGTAAAACTGGAATACACTACTTGTCGCTGGTCTAACCACGCTATCGCTGTACATAACCTCCAAGCATGCATACTTAAACCACCTCTTTTCTTCTCTCTCACCATATCCCTCCCCCTCCCCCTCTACACACACACAGACAGAAAGACAGACAGACACCGACGAAAACATATATATATATATATATACAACGCCCCACACATACACACAAATACGATGACAAAAGGGAGCCTGAGGTAGGAGCAGTCATAAATCAGAAACAAAACAAAAGCAAAAAACTAGCATAAGTTGAATGCGTAAACCTTACCTTACGTGGGTCTCCGCTCCTCCTTCCACCTCGCATTACTTCACTGTTCAGCTCCTCTACGCACTTTGCGCCAGGCCACTGACACCCCATTGGATGCGTCGCTCCCCGCCCAGTCCCGAGGTGAAGGCACAGTCTGCAGGCCAACACCATCCGTTAGGTCACCGACCATCATGCCTGCCGCACCCATTCCAGCTACGGTCAGTGGATTCGCCAACTCCTCTGCAAAGACAAATGTGTGGTGTAGCCCACTCTTTACATTAGTGACATTTAGATCTTTCAGTGAGGGTACAAGACGGAACTGGCGGAGAACCTTGCTTTCTTGTGCCTTGCCGCACATGCTTGGGCCGCCGCTGCTCGCCCCACCGCTCGCCATTCGATTTGCCTCGCCAAACGTGAAGACCTGCCCATGTGGTGCCCGTGGCCTGCCACTGTGGTCCAACCTGCAGCACGGGCGCTGGCACCACGACTGCGGTCCCTGCATCGCCACCACTGTATGTTGACGGCCGCAGGAAATTGCCTTGACAACACCCCCCGCTACAAACTCGAGGTTTACGACCCGATATGGAGAGGTGACCGTATCCACGCCGGATTTTGCCCCACATTGACCACTGGCATTGTCGCCCCAGCAATACACAGCCCCCCGTTCCGTCAACGCTACGGTGTGGAAAGATCCACAGGCCACATCTACCACACGCTGCCCAGTGAGGGCACCGCGTACTTTAGTTGGCACCAGCGCTGGTTCCTTGTCACCGTGCCCAAGACGTCCCTGATACCCAACGCCCCATGTGAAAAGTTCGCCGGCCGTGTTGATCACCCCACTGTGCCACTGCCCCGCATGCACGCGTATGAGTTTGTGATCCGTTGGCACACGCACAACCTGCGGAACCAACACCACTGTTCGCTTCTCCGTGCTGAGGGACTCGCTAATAATGGAAGGGTCACTGATCGTCGCCCGCACCTCCTCGGTTGAGCCCAACCCCAGGCACTCTAATAAGCCCCAGCTGTACAGTATCCCGTCGTCGTCTAGCGCCAAACTAAAAAAGCTCCCACAGCCCAATTGCACAATACGTTTTCCCTCCAGCGTCTCCACAAGCGTTGGCTCCTCCACCTTTCGCAGCGAGTAGTCAAAGTACCGTGGTCCGAGACCGCTCTGCCCGTGATTGTTGTTTCCCCAAAAGTAGACATGGTGATCTGCTGTGAGGGCCATGGCAAACGCGTAACCAGCGGCGAGGTGCACGGCTGGATGTTGCTCAAACAGTGGAATGCGCCGTGGCACCGTCACCACCGCTGACTTGTCATCCGGATGCTCGTCAAGCTCGCGTGGGCTGCCAAGCCCAAGTTGACCCCAGTCCCCGTTGCCAAACGTGTAAATGTTACCGTCATCGGAGAGGGCACAACTGTAGTTGGCGCCGAGCGCGACATCCACCACACGTACACCAAAGGGCGTAATTTGCGCCAGCGTTGGTGTGCTGCAGTCCTGAAATCGCTGCGTCCCCAGCTCCCCTGAGGTACCAGAGCCCCAACTGTACAGTAGCTGCCGCCTCGTTTGACGCTCTGGCGCAAGCTGCCGCATCACCCCCTGCAAGTTCAAGTACTCTGCGACAGCCAACACACCAGCGGCAGGAACGCCGGGTGGGATGACAAGCACATTGTGTCTCAGATAGTTCAGTATGGGGCCAAAGTAGAGCGGGTCAAGATCCAGCAGTATGGCGCAATCCAAATCCCTGTCAACAGGCGCCATCCGCTCCATCTCGCTCTGAACCAACAATGCTAGTAGGCTATCACGCTCCGAGAATAGCGTGGCCAAGGTTGTCGTGAAGTACGTCCCACCAACATTCAGCTTCACCCAGTCACGCGTCCGTCGGACAATGCCGCCCACCGCTGTCTGAGAGTCATCCTGATGGGTGTCTGTGGGCTTGGCGCCGCTATCGCCGCAGGAACCACTTTCAGGTAAGAGATTATGGGGATCCACGTGCATCTACCACGTCTCGCTTTTTCCTTAACAAAAATTATCTCTCCTTTATGTTGTGGATTTCCTATTTTGCAGTTGTTGTTATCCCTTTGGCTTGTTTTTGGTCCTTTAGTGCTTGTGGGTGTAGGTGTGTGTGTAAGTGTTTGGGATGTTGTTGCCTTCACGACTGTTGTCTGCTTGTTGCTGCTGCTCTTCTATGGCTGCTTGTGTGCCTCCGTGTGGCGCCGCACACTACCACTTCCCGCAGGACGGCCACGCAAGAATGGGGAGGCCGCCGCAGCAGCAGAAGAAGAATAAGAAGGAGTGTTTTGTCCCGCAAAAGCCCCAGTCTTCCCTTCACCTGTTTTCCCTCTGCGCGAGGGGCGGCGACAGCAGCATGCAGATCAAATCAACAAGAAAAGCAGAAAGAGGGATAACCACACGAAGGGAGGCCTGAGGCGCAGGCGCAGAAGACAGGCACACCGCCGTGCCGGAGCGGCGCGAGGGGGTAATAAACGGCAAGGAAACGTGCACATGCAAAGATGCATATAAAATACGGGGTTGAAATAAGACAAGACAAATCAAAAGTGCGAAGCTCAAAAAGAAACGCGAGGAACGCAATAACCGCGTACCTGCTTCCTCCTACACACATACACATACACACAACAGGCATCGTCGGCGGCTGACAGTGAGCCGGATGACACCAGCGACTATAATAGTCCTTTCTCTCTCTCTCTCTGTCTCTGTCTCTCTGCGATGGGGGGTGTTCGCATGCTTTCTGCCTCTGTTTTCGTCTTCCTTGGACAGCGGGATATGTCCCCGCACCACGCAGCGGACAGCCCTTTGGCGTCGCAGAGCAAATAAATAAACAAAAAAGAAACACACGCAATGATATTTTTTTTTTTTCATTAATTAAAAACGGGGGGATCTGTAACTGCGTCTGGCGCTACATGTACATATATATTTCACACTATTTTTTTTTTTCTAATACTTCAATATCTGTCTCTTTCTGTACATGCGTATGTGTACGTCCACGTATCCCTAGTTTCTTTACTCCTTCCTTCCCTTTTCGCTTTCACTGACTTTATCGTTCACTACCGTAGTCCCACAGGACTCACTTTCCGCTGTTTATGACCTCGGCATTTCAAGGAGTCCGAGCTGAGGGGCATGCTAGCAGGTGTATATATATATATATATATATATATGCATGCAGGCATTCATTGGAATGCATATAAGAGTAAAGAAGCAACAAACCAAAAAGATATATATATATATATATATATATAGTAATAATAGACACCAACAACAACAAAGAAACAAAAACAAGCAAAAGAAAAATATTCGGTTTGCCCTTTAAGACAATAAAAGAGGTTTGGGCTCAAAGGTTACGCAGGCTCGTCATTTACATCCTCACACTCCTGTTCCTGATGCATCTGCTTCAATGCCCTCTGCTGTTCATGGTAGGCAACAGCCTGCTCCACCAACTTATTGTACTCCTCCTTATTCTCCTCCTTCTGACGCAACAAATTGTCTTGCTCCCGCAGAAGCATGGAGTATTTGTCCTTGCTAGACAGGTGTTGGACGCCGCCAGGGCTGGTGCGCAGTTGATTAATCGCCTCCTCCTTTGCCTTTCCGCCTGCCGGCAACGTGAACCTGACAACCTTTATGCCGCTCATGCCGTTAGGGATGCTGCCCGAGGGCGCTCGGCATTTGGGGGAAGTACAGTGCGCGCCCGCAGAGTTAGCAGAGTACGCCGGACCTGTACGCAAACTAACAAACGGCAGTGATGGCGAATCTTCTTCCGTGTGTTTGGCTGCCCTTGCCTTTTGCTCCACCTCCTGCAAAAATTTTTCTGCTTCCCCAAGGATTTCCTCGTGCTTCTCACGACTAATCATACTATTCTGCTCCATTTCCCGCTGCTGTTGTAGCATCTCCTGCAGGCGCTGCTTGCTGCCAAGTTTCCACGCCTCTACTTGTGGTGGGGCGAGCTTGGTCATCTTGCCGCTATCGTTGGCGTTGTTGCTGCCTCTTTGTAACGTGTAGCCTCCCTGCTCCAATACCGGGGGGAAACCTCACCTCATCTCCCGCATTGGCACCGTCAAACTTCGGGTCACGCTGCTCTTGCTTTGGCGTCGCGCCGCTTACGAGGATGCTCGATGTTCGAGCATCCTCCCCCGCTTCAGCGTGGTGGGGTTGATGCTTCAACTCCTCAACAGGCTGCGACTCCACTACCTGCACACTACTGGCCTTTCGTGTGCTGCTGTTGCTGGACGTGCGTTCCAGTTGCTCGCCGTGTTCGGTGTTGAGAATACTGAAGACAGGGGTGGGGCCCATCGGCGTGGTTTTTATGGGCGGCGCCACCGCCTTTTGCTGCTCCACCAGTACGACACTCGTCTTGCGGAAGTGGGGTGCCGGGGGCACCGCTGGCAACACCGGCTGGCCCTTCACGTCCCGTCGACTGTCCAATGGGAGTAAGACCCCCTGCCGTACGTGCAGCGGCCGCCCCCCGCCGGAGGTGGGCGGAGCCGTTGCCGGATCGTGCGGCATCTCCTCACTGCCCTGCTTATCCTCTGTCGGGCCGTTCGATGCGGCGCCCTGCGAGGAATTTTCAGCACCTGCATCCGAAACCTTCCTGGCATGGGACAGGGGAAAGAGTGCGGCGGTGACGGGGCTCCCTCGTCTTTGCGCATCCCCTGGCCGTGCCGTGGTGTCCATCATTTCATCCGTCAAACCCACTTCGTCCCTGTCATCCGCCCCTTGCGCTGGCTGGCTGTGTTGGTGCTCGTTTGACTCTCCTGCGTCGCTGTCACACACCAGGGGAGGCGTTCGTGAGGTGGTGTTCCCAGTGGGTGAGTGGGCGCGCGGCGGTGGCAGCACTCTCTGCGGCTCCATAGGCTGCTGCGCCGGTTCGCCCTCCGCCAGCAGGACCCGCCCCCACCCGTTAAAAACAACGCTGATGTCGGTTGGCCGCGTCTCTTGATTTTCGTCGTTATTCCTGTCACCGCCGTCGACGTCTGTTCGCCCATCCCCTGACAGCAAATCAATGGTGACGCGGGCGTGGTGTATCCCGTGCTCCTCCAGTAGGGCAATTATGGAGCTGCTCAGAAAATGTGTCGTGCAGTCCATACTTTAGACGTCGCCGCTCTACCGCAGCTGGTTGACTAGATGGATTTACGGTTGATAGTGATGGCTCTGGTGACTGTCGTGGTGCTGAGGCGCATCACAGGCAGTGATGCAGTCCCATTGCATTGGGGAGCAGCAGTCAGAGAAGGAAAAAAAAAAGAGGTAATACAAAAATGCTGCAACGCCTTAAATGCTGGGCAGCATTCAAGCACGATGGCGTGGAGGCGTCTCACACCTCGTGTTCGCTACTCCGCCTCAGCCGACACAAAACTACTCGCAAGACTGGCAGCCACAGCAACACGCAAACGACCACAAGTTAAATAAAAGAGAGAAAAAGAAACATGTACACCTCTCAATTCCACGCACGCAGGTATTTATTTCGCACTACTCACAATCACCTCCTCACCCGCACACACTCCCACCCCCAACCGACTTCCCCCCTATTACCCATCAAGCCCCATAAACGCAGATATATATCTAAGTGCAGGCTACCCAACTATACTACGCCCTCCCCCCCCCCCCCATCCCAAACATACACACACCCACAGCTATGTTCAGATTTCCTTTTACTACTTCTTAGCGGCGTCTGGAGCAGCTGATGGGGCTGGCTTCGCATCAATATCCCTATAATACGACTTCGGTGGTTCTTTCATGAAGAGTGAAGTTCTGCCCCCCGGCGGCTCCGCCCATACACGATCCGGGTGTTGTGTACCGACCTTAAATGAACGGTTGTCACGCAAATTTTCGATAAGTTGCTTGACATCATTCCACGTCAAGTCCTCCAGAAAGTTATACGAAAAGTTCAGTGGACAGCCGTAATCACTCACAACCAACATGGGGGCATTGACGCAGGCACCGAGGCACTGCATCTCTCCAAGCGTGATAAGGCCGTCCTTAGTCGTGCCATGCATTCTCACATTCAAGTATGCCACCGTGCGGTGGAGAAGCTCGTCGCCGCCGCAGACCATACACGGGGTTGTCACGCAAAACTGAATGTGATACTTTCCCACTGGCTGGCGATTAAACATGGAGCAGAATGTCACGGTCTCAAAAACCTGCATTGGGGGCACCTCACAGATGCGGGAGATCTTATACATGGCGGTCACGGGGATGTACCCGCCCTGTTGCTGCTGTGCAAGATGCAGGAACGGAATCACGGCACTCTTGCGGTGACTCCTCGGAAACTTGGGGAGAATAACGTTGTGGATCTCCTCATAGCTCGCAGTGCAAAAGTCCCACAGGATGCGGGTGTTGTTAGTGTCTGTGTTGTGGTGCCTCACCTCACCGTGAATGAGACGGCGGGCGGGCCCCTCTAACCACGCGGCATACAGCAGAGACACCGCACGTCACCACATCTACAGCGTACAAAGAAAGGAGTAAAAAAGGGTTGACTACTAAATATCGTCATGTGGCCATGTTGCTCCATCTACCGCTGTTGTTGCTGCTGCTTTGTTTTTCGTTCTTTTCACCGGAGGATTCCGTTGTCTTCCCCCGCCGCCTTCGTAACCACCCCTATGAACTTCCGCACGGGCAAACATTCCACAGAGGGAGAGAGAAAGAGAAACAAATTTTTAAAGAGTAAATCGGAAGAAGTGGGAAACCCTCGGTCCTGCGCAGGGTAGCGTCACCACCCCGCTGAGCTGCAGTGTACGGAGATGAGTACGCGGACAGGGACGCAAAGAAAGAATAAAAAAAAAAAAAGAGAGAGAGAGAGAAAAAAAAAAACAAGACTCAACTTCACTCCCGTCTTCCTCCTTCCCCACACTGCACAGCGCATACAACAAGCTTAAGGGAGAGGGGTTGCTACGGTAGTGCCGTTGCGGTCTCATTGTTTCTATGCCCCGCCGGGCGGCAGGGACGGTCTCGCTCCCAACAACGATTTGTCTAGTAAAGAAAAGGAATAAGGCCAAAGCAAAAATCAATGAAATAGTGGAGAGAAGTAGCGCAGGCTAAAGGGGATGGGAAAGAAATCGATGCCGCATCAATTCATGATGCAGAGATATGAGGTGGCTTGGCTCTCACTGCCTCTTAGTGCGTGTCTCTGTATTTCCCCCTCCACCACTCAACGTGTCTTTCCCCTTTCCTACTTTCCCCTTCGGGTTTCCCTTCTGTTTTATCTATCTTTCCTCCACTGAGATCTGTTCCTCCTCCTGCCACGCAGAGAGAACAGAGTGGGTACGAAAGGCTGGAGGTAGGAAAGGGTGTGTAACACATAACTCTATCGTGCGGCAAAAAGAGAACAAACAAGAACCGCTGGGAGAACCATGGCGGCAGTAGCGGCAGTGGTGGTGCAAGGGCAGCGTTGACGGCCTCCAATCGCTGCCGACCCCCCTTCCTTGTCCCTGGCGATGCTCCTGCCGTGTGCCGCAGCGCGTTCTTCTTTAGACCCCACCCCCCACCCCCACACGCACCCGCCACGGCTGTTCCAACGCTGCGGCGGCCCAAACCGTTCGCCACTGCCTCTTTTATTATTTTTTCTTATGCTGTTGTTGTCTTTGTTTTTTTTTGCGTTTTTGTTTTTGTTTTTTTTCTTTTTTGGTTTTCTTGTTTTTTGTTGTTTTTGTTTCTTCGTCCCATTGGAAGCGTGATGGCAGGCCGCCTCGCCCTTTTTTCCCTCTTCGCCTCCCCCCCCTCCCCCCTCAGCCGGCCCGCTTTGACTTTTTGATGATCTTCTTCTCCAGGCTTTTGTGCACAAACGGCACCACACCTCCGCGGGCGATGGTGGCGTTTACTATCTGGTTGAGCTCCTCATCCCCGCGGATCGCCAGCAGCAGATGCCGCGGCTTGATCCGCTCTGTTTTCTGCGCCTTCGCCGCCGCCCCTGCGAGCTCAATTACCTCCGACGTGAGGTACTCCAGCAGCGCGGCGCAGTAAATGGCGGCGGAGGCGCCGCAGCGCTGCTTGCGGTTCAGCCCGTCCTTCAGTCGGGAGTGAATGCGGCCAACAGGGAAGTTGAGGTCGGCGCGCGCCGCACGCGTCATCTTGTCGCGCTTCCCCGCTTTACCGCCTGTCTTGCCCCCACGCTTCCCTTTGCCCTTGCCCTTCCCCCGCGCCGCCGCCTTGCCCCCGTGTTTCCCACCGGAGACAATACTCGTCTGATCGGCCGTCGCCGATCCGGGGCCCATCATGGGGCTCTGCGGCAGCGGCTCTTCACCGGACAGCGACATGACCGTGGGGTGTGTGTACTTAAATGTGTCTGTGTTCCTTCTGGTTCGGTGCCCGTTGAGGCTGATGTCTCCCTGCACGCGTGCGAAGGGCGGCAAGGGCGTGAAGGCATTCAAATCAAACGGATACGAAGACAAAATAATAATAATAATAATAATAAGGCAGACCCCCCACGCAGACAGAAAGAGAGAGAGAGAGACAGTGAGAGGAAAAGACACCGAAGTAAAGAAAAAAAATTACAGGGTCTTCTTAAAGAAAAAGTGTGTCACTAAACAGCAGCAGCGAGAGACGCAGGAATAACGCAGAGAAAAAGAGAGAAATGAGAAAAATATACACGAAAGCAGATATCTGCAGTATACGTGCGTACGTGAGTGCCAGGACGTAGAGCTGTCCCCGGTGCTACCACAGCATCAACTCCCCCTCCGCCTCTGCCTTCTCTGACTCCTCCTGCTCCTCCTCGTGTCTCCGCAAGCACATCGCACATATCAAGGACATGGTTTCGGCAGAAATATTGCACACGCCGGCACCTGTCAGCAGTGCGCAGGAGTAGTGAAAGGCCCTCCGCTGACAGTCTCTGCACATAAGCAGACACCGCCCGCGAGCTGAGCAAAATGAACAGGCAGAGGCACAAGAGGAGCCGTCAAGCTCCCGCAGCAGCGTGCCTGTAACCGCCACCTTCAGAGTGACAGTGTCCTGCACGCGCCGGTGCAACACGCACCACTCGAGACACGCCTGGTGCACCAATAGCGTGAAGGATGATGGCGGAGGAGACGAATTGGTACTGCGGCTGCGTTTTCGGCACATCCCGTGTGCTGCATGACTCACACCTGGTGTGGAGAGACGCAGGTCCCACATGGGGCCCAGAAAGTCGCTCAGCATTACCTCGTTCAGCTGCTGGAGACGCATGTGGTCGCAGGTGGGGTCTGCATGAAGCAGCTGTCGCAGAAAGTGGCGAACCCGTGCACGGTCTGCAATGTCTAGCCCGCACAGCGCACAGCAGCCCACATGCTCGTAGGCCCCCGTCGAACGGCCACCACCGCGGCGACGCAGTGCCACGCATTGGTGGAAAGATTGCCGCAAAGAAGAGGAGGATGAACTCGATGTAGGGCTCGGCGAGAGCATCCGTTGCGTTTCGTTCTCGTCGCACCCCACAAAGCATTCGGCCAGCATCGCCAAAGGCGGCGGGGAGGTGCGCAGAAACTGCGTCTCTGCCACACTCCCATCGCGGTGCATGATCGGCGTCTGCAGCAACCCTGCATCCTCGTCGCGCACGGTGGACGTCGACGCAAGACAATCCCTGACAGCCGCCGTCAGGGAGCATTCGTCCACCGCCGCAAAGCTCGGCATCAGCCTTTCCCTGAGCTGTGGCGGTGGGCTGTTGCCGGCACCTACGGCGGCAGCAACGTGCGTCGCCTGCCCCAACCGCAATGACTTGGCCACGTCGTGCACCAAACTCATCACCCTCGCGAGGGTCGGCAGCGGGGTGATCGCCCGGCGACTCGCCACGGTGCGGTTGCACAGCGGGCAGCGTGGCCTCCCCTCAATGGAGCGCTCGGCGCATGTCTTGCAAAAGACGTGGCCGCATGAAAACACCACCGGGGAGCGGAGCAGCGTGTAGCAGACGTAGCAGACGAGGCTCGTCTCGGCCACCTGCAACAGGGCGCGAACCGCCATACCAGTGCGGGCGCTCGCACCCACGCCGCCCCTCCCGCCTACTTTCGCTCTTTTCTACGCCTCGGAACGGGTCACGCAAACACCACCAGGCAACACCCCTCGCTGTATTCGGCTAGCAGCACGCATGCCCGCGCCGACGAGGACACAACACCCAGACGATTGAGTAAAAAAAAAAGCTTCTTTCTTTTCTTTTCCCTCAAACCCACCTTTTTTTCTTCTAGCTTTTTCCTCTTCTTTTCCTTTTTGCAGCTTCCGCCCTCCGGCCGTTTCTCAGCACCCGCGGAGAAACGCAGACACAGACACAGACACAGGCACGGGCACAGCCGCTCCTTCCGCATTTCCCCGTGGAGGGCAGGAAGGAAAACAAACAAAAAGAACGAAAGAAAAAAAGAAAAAACAAACAAACTACCAGTAAGATGCTCGTAGACGCGTCACTGAGGCCCATACGTGACGCGTGAGACATCATGCAGGAGCGCCACAGTGCGCAAGGTGTCTGTGGTGCACGCAGGCACGTCACCAGAAAGGGGAACAATACCCGGGGAGACACACACACACACATACAAACAACACACGCGCCAAAAGGGTCAGGACGAAGACAAAACCCAAAACAAGAGAAAAAGCAAGAGAGAAAACAACACAAAAAAAAACGCCACGTGCCTCACAAAGCAACCTCTCCCCCTTTTCTCCTCTTTGAATTGGCCTTCGGGTCCTTTCTAGCGCGCGTGCCCTTCCCCGCCTTCGCCGCCTCAGCCGGCTCTGTCTTTGTCGCCTGCTTCAGGCGTTTCCGTCGTTCCGTGCGGTTCTTCTGCCGCTCCATGTTAATCTGCCGCTTGACCTGCGCCGCCATGGCCTTACAAGCCAACTTCAAGGCGGTAGCACCATAACCACCGCGCCGACCCCCACTCGCGGTAGGCCCGTCGTACTGCGGAAACCGCACCATCAGCAGGTTACTGCTGCGAATGAAGACGGAGCCAACGTAGCGTTGGCGGGTTGCAGGACTGACGGGAGGCGCGGGTAACCCTTCCGCCGCCAGCAGCGCACGCTCAACGTCACACAGGCGATCACGCCACGAGGTTGCTTCCGCCAGGCTGACGTTGTAGTCGTCGTCCAGCGACAGTAGCTTGCCTTGGTACACGTACCCCTGCCGCGTCTCCACCTCGACGCGGAAGAACTCAAGTGGTAGCGACGGGACCGTTGACGACGGCTGGTGAGGCACGCCGGCGCCGGTGTTCGCGGCACACTGCTGCCTTATAGCCTGTTGGATGACAACCGCCGGAAGAGGACCCCGCGGCATTGTTGTCTCCGCGGGCATATCAACGCTCCCCTGCCGCCCACTCCCCCTACACAAAAAAAAGGAAAAAAGAATGGCAGCAGCACCACAACCAGCTTCTCCGTGAAGCCCAACTGAGTCGAAAGTCATGCCACCCTTCTGCCCGCAAATTGGTTGGGCGTGTCGCATTCACGACGGCAGAAAACCAGTTGAAGCAAAACAAACATGTACATCTACACCTACACATGCGTGCACCGAATACAAACAAAAAGAGGGGCAAGTCTACAAGACGCCTCTCACACAGACGCACTCAAACGTCTGCCACTAAATAACAACTAAAAAAAAAAAAATAGAATCTGATAATTTAAATACACCAACCTCACAAACGTGAGAAAAACATACAAAACAACCCAAACCCGTGCTGGCCACAGTTCTGACGATGCGTAGCCGCCCGCTGGGCCCCTCCACCCGCCGAGCCGCAGCCGCCCACACTTTTATTTCAGAGAGAGACGCTCCAAACAAACACGGCACAGCAGAAAAAAAAATAAAACCGTTTTTTTTTCTTTGAAAAAGTGTAAAAAAATAATTTCCATCCAAAACAAAAAAACCGTAAAAAAAAAGGAGCAAAGATTCAAAACAAAGAAATATTGCATCAACAACCGCAGCGTAGGCCTGCCGCTGGAGGCGCCAGAGGGCGGCGGAGAGGATCCGGCTCAAAATCCAAATCGTGTCCACACAGATGCGCTTCTCAAAGGTGTCCCTCTCGCCAGATCATCCGAGAACAACCAGGGACAAGCAGAGGCAGCACAGGGGCAAACACGTGCGCAAGGCTCCTCCCATCGGTAGACGCTGACGACGCGGCGCTGCCAGCAGGGGTCCCAGCTTCACAGCTCTAAGCGGCATTACCAGCGTCACCATCCGTGCCAATCATGTCTTGGCTCAAGAACAGGGTCCTGATTTCGCCGGCGCTCAGCCGACGGTTGTAAAGAAGAACGTTCGTCACCGTCACACGGCTGTCCGTGGGTGCACCATTACTCTGAGGCCCGCCAATGTAGAAGTGGGAGATGTCGGGCAATGTCGCGCCCCGCACGATGGTATTCCCCGAACCCGCCAGAGACTGGCCATCAACGTACACAGAGCCCTGCCTGTCCGCCATCGTGAGAACCACGTGGTACTTCTTGTGCAGTTCCCACGATCCTGTCGGCGACACCGGCGCTGCTCCGTACAGTGGCTGCCACTGGCGATTCTTGTCGTACGACAGCCCCAGGAGTTTGGTGTCGCCGGGGCCTTCCAGGCCCGCCCCCAGCACAGGGCTCGCGTCCTTCGGAAGCGCGTCAATCGTTACCGTCGCCACCAACGTGAACCGGTAGTTTGCGAACTGGTACCGTCGGGTCTGCCCCTGCCGAGCCACCGGCCAAACCGCCCCTCCACCGACCCCATTGAACTTCAAACCGTTGGGAACCCGCTCCGCATTGGTCACGTTTGCGTTGACGCAGCGGTACACG